CTCTTAAAGGGGCAGTGGGAGCCAAAAAATGAAATGTGCTCCCATTGGCCCCTGTCATCCCACATTCCCCAGACACTCACATTTTGGGGGCGTGGATATGACAGGGGCCAATCAAAGTAAAGTTTAGGGTATTTATACTTACCTCTCCCTTAACTCCCTGCCCTATCGTGGTTTCTGTTTCAGTTCCCTTTAGCACTTGTTCTGTTCAGTTGTGATTTTTGTGCTTGACCTTGGCTTTGTATCTGACTCCGTTTATCTCTCTATCCCTGTTTTGTCTTGTTTGCCAGCTTACTGACTACTGTGTACCAGACCTTGGCTAGTTTTTGTTCTCGCTGTCTCTTTGTTCCCTTGACCTCGGCTTGTTCTTGACTCTGTCTATTCTCTGCTATACGGCGAGTCCGGCCATCTAAGGTCCAGTAAGTCGTATCTGCTCTATCTGTCGATTGTTGAACTAAATCTTGCTTGTAGGGGTAAACTACCGTGACAGGTGGACATTCATGTGTATCTAGATACTTATAGACATAATCTGGACATTGTTAAATAATGTGATCAGTGTACATTAGTGATGTCCCGAACGGTTCGTTTGGCGAACCGTTCAGGACATCACTAGTGTACATATCTTGGTGACTGAATGCTACCAGATGATACAGGGTTATTTTTGTGAAGGCATGTGAACTTTAGCGTGTAACCTTGCCAAACATCTCTACAGAGGGACCAATGACAATAACCAGCCTCACTTCTTCAACATGCTACAGGACCTTACATAGGTGAGACTTTATGGCTTCATTCTATCAGCCAGGGAGGTTAAATGTCACCATGAAGTTCTGAACATATTACAGGATGCCATATACTTCCTACATCTCTCAGCGATCTTTTAGTGTTTCTTTCTCTGGCTCTGCCTCTTCTTCCCCACCCCTCTCTGTTGGTTTTCCCCAAAGGACTGTCCCTGGCCCCCTATTGTTCTCAATCAATACTGCCTCCCTTCTCATCAGCTCCTTTGGCTTACAGTATTATTTCTATGTGGATGACATGCAAATTTACCTCTCCTCCCCTGGTTTCTCACCACCACTCTTGCCTTGTGTCTCTGATTGCCTCTCTTTGATTTCCAACTGGATGGCTGCTCATTTCCTTAAACTTAACCTGTCCAAAACAGAACTCCTGGTCTTCCCTCTCTCAAGTGTTGCTACTCACCTGTCCGTCTCCCTCCAATTAAATGGTGCTACCATCAGCTCCTTCACCCCTCATGTCCAATCAAATGCCAAATCCTGCTGCTTACATCTTAAAACATAGCACGCATCCGCCCTTATTTAACGCCTGATACGGCTAAGGTGCTTGTCCATGCCACTGTCCTCTCTCGCCTTGACTACTGTTATTCACTTCTCAGTGGTCTTACGTGTTTCCAACTTGCCCCGTTAAAGTCTATAATGAATGCGGTAGCGAGGCTCATCGCTGTATTGGCTTTCCCTGTATTGGCTTTCCGTAATATATAGGGCTCAATTAAAGATCCTGGTACTTGCTTACAAATCTCTACACAATGCTGCTCCAACCTACCTATCATCACAAATACACAAATGTGTCCCGTCTAGGCCCCTATGCTCTGCCGGAGACCTATGTCTAACCTCAGTTCGTACTCTTACCTCTGATGCTAGCCTTAGAGATTTATCTAGAGCTGCACCATTCCTATGGAATGCCATTCCCCTCTCTATTAGACTTTCACCAAGTCTCCACTCAACAAATCTTTAAAACTTACTTCTTCAGGAAAGCATATCAATTAAACTTTCAACAGCTTTCCCTCCCAACACCCTGATTCCTCTCCTGCAACTATCATCAAAACAAAACACTAAGCCCTCAGTGAAAACTATCCTAGCAACTTGCGTGCAATAGTGAGACTGGGATCAGCCGATCCTTTCACTTGGGAGAGGAACTATTGGAGCCCAGAGTTAAATGAAACATTAAGGACTAGTTTAAGCTTTGCTCTGGTGTCGATCTTAGCTCAAAGTAAATATTGAGAAGCTTTAATTGTGGATAGATGTATGCGGGTTAATAACCAGGGTAAGCTGTCCACTTTGACACCAGCATGTAGTATGAGGGTTAAATAATAAGCGAATGAAGAAAATATTAAAACGAGTAAAATAAAATACAGGAATTAGACATAAATATCTAGGTGAGCTAAAGGTTTTTATTGCGAAAAATGAACTGGTACCTACATATCCCCACATCTTTGACATCTGTCGGTTGAACACCGTCAGTGACGGCAAAGTAAACATATTATAGTAAAGTAGGCATCTGTTACTTTCGTTCTAGGCATAGCATTTTACACATATACTGCTATAACCATAGTATGCATAGAGGACAATACGCCATTGGATATACACATCCATGGGGCTTGTTTAGGCTCCACTTAAATTAGTGATTCAGGCTTTAACCTCTCAGGATTACTGTTAATCCAGCACGCAGAATAGTATCACACCTAAACTAAGGGTAATGTCTAACCGGACCCTAGAATGGCCGGACTTAACATCCAGCAGAATAGTCAAAATACTTGCCGAGGTCAGGGACACAGAAAGAGACACAACAATGAGGAAAGCCAGAAGTCAAGGATACCAGAAATCAGGGAAGTCAAAACGAAGCCAAAGTCAAATACCAGAAAAATGCAATCAGGAACAAATTCTCAGATAACCAGCTAGTGGAAACCACGACAGGGCAAAGAAAAAATA